AACCAGGAACCGGCAACCTTTTGGTTCACAGGCTGGCACTCAGTCCACTGAGCCATACATACCATTTAGGGCCCTTCTTTGGTTTGATTTTGTTTTGAATATGTAAAACATTTGCAACTTTTGGAAAGTCAGATTTGTATGAAAAACTATACTCAGAAATCTTCTACCCCAATTTCATTAGTTTCTCTTTTTTTCTTCCAGTGTATGTGCTTTTTTAAAATAAATAACCAAATGTGTACACACACTCACATATATTCACGTACATATAGTTAACCCTTGAACAATACGTGTTTGAATTACGCAGGTCTACCTGTACATAGTTTTTTCTTCCCAGTAAATACTATCAATGTATTTTCTATTTCTTTTTTTTTTTATATTATTGAAAAAAAACAAGGCCCCACCACCCACCCCAAAAACACTGCCACGCACCACCCGCTCTCCCTTGATTTTCTTAATAACATTTTTTCTTACTTAATCGTAAGAGTACAGTACATAATGCATATAAGATACAAATATGTGTTAATCAATAGTTTATGTTACTGAAAAGGCTCCTGGTCAATAATAGGCTACTTAGTAGTTATGTTGGGGAGGAGTCAGAGGTCATGTGTGGATTTTTGACTGCATGGAGGTTGGCACCCCCACCCCCAGTTGTTCACATGTCAGCTGCCAGCAAGTGGAACCTCGGTTCTTGAACTTACATCATTCCAGAAAACTGTTCGAGAAGCAGTTTGTTCAAAATGTGCGTGTATATATAGTGCATTCCACTTTTACATGAGAATAAAGTATTTTACGAGAATCCTTTTAGGCTAGCACAATCTGTTAGGGAATGATTCTGTGGGATCTATTCTTAACTCTTAGGAGTGTCAGGAAAATTTTCCTTTCATCTTCATGGTCTTAAGAGCCATTTTCTAGTGCAGGAGCATCGTCTTACTCCTAGTCCTTGCTGCTTTAAAGTCTTCAGAAGCCTTTGAAACAGCATTTTGTCCTTTGATGGTGGTCTCATTCAGTATTCCTTTTCCCCTCTGTGGGCTGACGTATTAGGGAAGCCTGCGCTTCCAGTTTTCTGCTGGTTAAAGCCATTATTCCTTGCGTCACATTTTGGTATTTACCTTATCTGTGCATCGTGGCCTCTCGTTTCTTCATTTGAAGAGCCCAGTTATCAAAACAGGTTTTCAAAGAGGGGCCAAAAGCAGGAAAATGACTACAAGCATGTTTTACTTTGGAAATCATTGTTTTTAATCAGTAAAATGTCAAACTTTGTTTTTAAAATGCATTCAGTTGTGCAGTAAAAAATATTGAAGATTACGTTGCTGTTTAGATCCGAGAAGCAAGCCTTTCTTGATTTTTTTCCCCATGTTAGTGCTGTTTATTTGTCATAGAGTGGGGAGAAGTGCTGAAAGGTCACAGGAAAGAAGGGCCGAAAGGTCACAGGGAAGATGAGAGTCGGTGAATGTGGTTAAGGGGCTTCTGAGAAGAGTGTTTGGTAAAGTTTTGAAGTTAATGTGGCTTGGTAGAAAAAACACTGTATTTTGCCATGTATGTTGTGCACTTTTTTGCCCACAAAATTTTTAGGGAAGAGGAAGGATGCGAATTATACATGGGTATAATAAGGAGTGTAATCGTCCTGTATGTGATATGCACAGAAACACGGTGTGCCTTACGCAGGCAGGCACAGTATACCTGGCAAAATACGGTGTTCTCTGAAGTAACTTAGACTGCTTTCTACAAATTAGATTTCTTTAGTTTTCTTTCTTCTATATTAAACCATAGAAACTAAGTATAAGGTTGCTTGCCTGCGATTTAAAGATTCGGAAACATATTTGGAGAATGAGAGCTGTTTCCTGTCTTTAAATTCACTGTGAGAGCTCAGTGCTGAGTCCCAGATATTCGGGTGATACCGAGCATCTCTTAGTGTCAGGAGTCCGGTGTGTGAAACAGACACGTCCGGAAGTCAGCGCGTTAATACAGTCTAATCGAGTGCCCGGACGTGACATCTGTTTCTGCATAATCGAAACTGGTTGCCTTGGCGCAAACTTAGCTACTGAGCTCCTAGGCTAATCCAGTCGTTTTCAGAAATGCAGCTTTGTCACACCAGCTAAATCAAAAGGCAAAGGAAGCTCATGATAGTTATAAACTATCCTTTTTAAGATTAAGAAGGTTTACTTAAATATTTACTTAGTTTTATTATATACCAGTCACGATTTTATGTCCCTTACAAATGCTAATTTATTAAATCCTCATAACAACCCTAAACACTTACGTTTTCATGGAAGCATAAGTTTAAAGTCTTGTGCTAAATGTTCCTTTTTATTTCCTCAGTTCATTTAGCAAAGGTAAGTTAGGCAATGAACTATAGTTAATTTCTTTCACGTGAAACTTAACCTCATATTTTGCAGTGGAAATTCTGCACTGTTCAGTGGTTTCTCTAAAATAATATTTTATGTTGCAGAGTTTTAAGTATTTTTTTATTTTTTAAATTATTTATTTATTTTTAGAGGGGAAGGGAAGGAGAGAGGGAGAGAAATAGCAATGTGTGGTTGCCTCTGGTGCGTCCTCTGCTGGGAACTGGCCTGCAACCCAGGCATGTGCCCTGACTGGGAATCGAACCGTGATCATGTAGTTTGCAGCCCCATGCTCAATCCACTGAGCTCATTTATTTATTTTTAGAGAGAGGGGAAGAGAGGGAGAGAAACATCAGTGTGTGGTTCCCTCTTGTGCATCCCCCATTGGGGATCTGGCCTGCTACCCAGGCATGTGCCCTCACTGGGAATTGAACGGGCGACCCCCCCAGGTCACAGTCTGGCACTCAGCTAGGGCTGTCTTATTTACTTTTTGCACAGGGTAATTAGTTTGCAACTTTCGACAGCATTGTAGATTTGAAAATGGATGTGGAATGATGAGTATTTTTATGCAGCATAATATATTATCTGTCCTTTTTGTGGGACTTTGTTCTTGTGCTTCCATAGACCTGGGGATGTAGGCAAAGCTACCTCGTATTTGTATGGAAGATGTATGCTCTTACTTTTTCCGAAGTATTTTCTGCATTTACTATGGGGTGGTTTTTCTGTTGGGCTCTTTTGTTCGAGGGCCTCTTTCAGTTTCTCGGGTGTAAGTGCTGAGGTGGCGCAGGTTTTGCTGCTGTTTTTGCCTTTGCCTGTGATTCTCACAGTGACAGACCAGACCAGGTTTAGCTCTCCAAAGCATGTAGACAGGTCTCTGGGACAACTCAGGTAGACCTGAAACTTCCATTAAAATAGGTGTCTGCCCATCGTGTCCTGTTTTCTTGCCCTGTTCAGTAAGCTGATGCTTAGTGCGTTCCTTAAAGTACTTTTGACTCACCTAAAGGTTAATGTAGCAGAAAAGAAAATTTACCTTTCATTTTACCGTGTTGGTAGAATCAGTAGGGGGTGGATTGCGATTAGCTCGTATGTTCAGAACACCTTTTGGAGAAGAACGCTTTACCTCCATTTACCTGCATCATTTGGGAAACGCCGCGAGAAGTCATTGGTAGATTGTGTTTCTCACGTTTGAATTATACCTGCTACTAAATAGTTGTCCTTCTCTGGTATCCACCCCCTTTTAGAACTCAGCTGGTTTACATTTCAGTAGGACAAGTTATAGGGCCAAAAAGTACAGCAAGTCAGAGTATTGAGTGTTTTAAAAGAAAAACAGCTGGCCGTGGCCTGGTGTGCCACCCTGCAGGGGAGAGGTCGAGATCCAGCCCGTGCTGCCTGCAGGTAGAGTGGCCAGACCGGGGAAGAGAGCGCGGATCAGTCCTAGCACTGAACCAGGCACGCCGTGCAGCATTCGTTCTGGTCGGGTCTTCTGGGAACTCAGTCCGGGACGGGGTACAGAGATTGCCTAGGGGCTGGAGCAACCTTGTTCCCTGTCTGTCGTGAGTAGCCCACGTTTCCTTTGGCCCTGGGTCAGTGAGGGAGGAGTTAATCTCATGGATTCTTTGGAACCACTTTGTGAGTAATTTCTTTTAAATTAGTATTCTTCCCACAACTAAATATAGAACCCTGAATTTTGACACACACCCTCTCCTTCCCACCTGCTCTGTCATTTATGTCCTACCCACTCTTACCAGACTTCGTGGAGCTTCACCGTCTTTTTACCTGTTCTTTCATCCATTTACCAGACTGTCTCTTGTCTGTGGCACTGTATAAGGTAAGAACGGTTCTGCGTGTCAGCATGAGGTCAGTGATCATGCTCCAGGTGAGTATCCGAGGGCAGAGGAGCTGCCTCGATCTTGTTTTTGCACTTCTGCGGTACAGCATTCTCTAAGGAGCTGTGCTGTCACTAGGGTGAAACCGGGGTAGACTTATACCCTCTTTTCTTTATCTCCCTTGGCCTAGTCTCAAGGGTCACCTGTTTCAATCCCAGTTCCTCCAAAGAGTGAAGCATTGACCCTGCCCCCTTTCTGAGTTAGCTCTTGTATGAGTCTCAGAGCAGGGTGTCCCCAGCTCCTTGGCTGAAGTCCTGAGTGGGATGCTGGAGAGGGCGTTCCTGGGACCGGGTTTCCTTGTGGAGCTGGTCGTTCAGCTGCTGTTCTCTGGACACCACACAGTGGTCTTCCCTCTTCGGCTTTCTCGGTAGTTCTGTTTGCTGGCTTCCCACGTCCGGGGTTCCTGAGGTGTAAGCTGTTGTCGCCATTTGGTTTTTCCTGGTATCTTCTCAAAGTCTCATTTCGATGGCACCCTTTGATTCTTTTTAAATCCTGTGTTTATTGTCTGGTGAAACACTGAGTACTATTTTTCTAGGTGATTTCTAAAGTCACCCAGGAGAAGGCATACTGAGTGGAGAAGTCTGCTGACTTGTCCCTGGAGAAGTGCTTGTCACTGGAAGTGCTGGGTGGAGCCATCTGATGTCTCCATTTGCTCTCATTGCAGCCTCTAGCTATAATGTTGATGAAAGAATCAGAGAGGAGGGACCAGATAGTTTTTCATACACCTTTTACAAATTTTGGTTTTGATGTCAGCCTTTAATTTTTTTCTCAGTTGCTTTAGGTCGCAACCAGCCTCTGAAAAAGGAGAAGCCCAAATGGAAAAGTGACTATCCCATGACAGATGGACAACTGCGCAGCAAGAGGGATGAATTCTGGGACACCGCTCCGGCTTTTGAAGGCCGTAAGGAGATTTGGGACGCCCTGAAGGCTGCGGCACATGCTTTTGAGAGCAATGATCATGAACTGGCACAGGCCATCATCGATGGGGCCAACATAACATTACCGCATGGTAGGTGGTCCTGGGGGCAAAGCGGAACCCCGGCAGCGCACGTCTGACCGCAGGAGGCCGGGGGAGTGTGCACTTTTCAGCTGGGGGCAGGCTCGCTTGGTGTGTCTGTGTTTTTGTTTCTTCCCCGTTTCATTTTTTCCTTACCCAAGGATGTGTTCACTGATTTCAGAGGGGAGGGGTTGGAGAGAGAGAGAGAGAGACATCGATGTGAGAGAGAAGCACCTACTGGTTGCCCTCCATACTCACTATATGCACCCCTTCCGGTGATTGAACCAGCAACCTGGGTGTGCGCTGTGACCAGAAATTGAACCTGCAACCTTTTGGTGTATGGAACGATGCTCCAAGCAGCTGAGCCACCCAGCCAGGGCTGGGTTTTTTTTAATCTCAAGAAAGAGAACTCTTGTTCACTTGTTAGCCTGTATTTTCTAACTTCTATATAATCTAGCTCTCTGTTAAGGCCCCAGGCTCCTAGGGCTTCTGCTTTGCTGGTTTCCTACCAGCACCAGAGTGAGTCTCAAATTTAGACAGAAGTCCTAGAGACCCAGTGGCTGCTCGTTTAGTCACCGTACTTCCTCCTCATTACACTTTCCTACGACCGTTCTCTGTGATTGGAGCTCTGAGCGTTGCCGGAAACCTCTCTTCTTTGCTCAGGACTGTGAACGCTTTGACTGTTTTCAGGGACACACGTGTGCTGGACCCTTAGACGTCCTTCTGCTCGGTCTCCTTGATTAGACGCGGACAGTGAATTCTCACGCTGTACTCAGATTTAGGTGTTAGTTTTGTATTCTTTGTTTTTTTGATTACTGTATTTATAAATTTATTTTTCTCTTCCATTTTCAAGTTAATCTTTTTCTGAGTTACTCTTTAGCCCCATGTATATATTCCCCGGTGTGCATTGTCTTCTGTTCGTTACTACACCCTCCTCGTATCCTTTTTATTTTCTCTTGTTTGTCTGCATTTTCAGAGGAGCAGTGCTTTTCACTGTTGAATCACCTGCTTCATGTCCTTTGACTGTTTTTCAGATAAAAGATATTTAACCTCGTGTCCTTCCTAATATTTAAAATCTCCATTAGTTTTCCTTCTTTTCTTTTTCTTAAAAGATTTTATTTATTTATCTTTAGAGGGAAAGGGGAGGAGAGAGGGAGAGAATATCAATGTGTGGTTGCCTCTCGTGCGTCCCCTGCTGGGAACTGGCCTGCAACCCAGGCATGTGCCCTGACTGGGAATCAAACCGGCCTGGCAACCCTTTGCTTTGCGGGATGACACCCAATCAACTAAGACATACCGGGCAGGGCTCCATTAATTTTCTGAATTAACTGTGCTCCCAAGAAAGTTTTTAAAAATAGGTATTCATGGCTGTCCTGTTTTGTATTATGAGAGCTTATTAGTATGGGCTGTGTTAACAGTTTTTATTGAGCGTTCACTGTGTATAGATGGGCGCTCAATTTTTTCTACACAGGTGCAAAAATGTCCCTTCTCTATTGACAAATCTATAGTAGAATTTGTCAGTGTGACCGTAGTCCCTACTTTTATGGACAGTCTCTGAATTCTTCACCTCTTACATGATTGGAGGTGAACAACATCTTGCTCCATTACCTTTTAGAATTCTGTAATTTTGTCTCCAAATACTACTTCATGTGGTGTACAGGGAAAGGCCTCCCCTTACAAATAGTTTTATTGCCCTTCTCTTTTAATGCTTTTATCATATATATATTTTTAAATATTTATTTATTTGTAGAGAGAGGGGAAGGGAAGGAGAAAGAGTGGGAAGAAAATCAATGTGTGGTTGCCTCTAATGTGGTCCCCAATGGGGACCTGGCTTGCAACCCAGGCATGTGTCCTGACTGGGAATCAAACCAGTGTCTCTTTGCTTCACAGGCCCGCGCTCAGTCCACAGAGCTACACTAGCCAGGGCTTATGTCCTATATTTTAAAAACAGAGTGTACTGATACTTGTATTTGTATAGACCTGTAAGTGGGTGGGCAGGGGTCGGAGGAAGAGTTGTTTATCTGTGATGGTCCTACTTTAGAAGCCCGGGTTCTGGAGAACCTTGGAACTTCGACTCCCCATTTGACTTACCTTGGTTACTATAGGAACACCTGGTCGGGCTCTGTAGAGTGCGGCCTTTCTACGGGTCCGTGGGGCGCAGGAGCTCTTCCGGTGCACGGCAGGGGCCGTGCACGTCCTGCTGGGTGTCCGTGGTGCTCTCTGAAGACTCCAGTCTCTCATTTCTGCTGGTGTGTGTGAACTGCCAGGACAAGTAATCTGGCAGCCCCACCAACTCACAGATTAGGGAGACTTATTCTTGGAAATTTGAGAAAACTGGATGAACCTCTACCGTTGTTCCCCACCCACCCCCATGTTTAAGGAATATATTCTACTTTAGCATGAAACAATCAAACTCTTTGAGCTTTTCTCTTTCAAAACTTTATAATAACTTTCTGGGCATTGATATTATTGTCACTGGTGCCCTTGCTTGAGTCCTCCTGTTCACGTCTGAGACTAACCAGTGATATTTCAGAAGTAGACGTTTGCGTTACATCCTGCTCTCTACTCTAACTCGCCATCTCTGTACAACAACTGTTTAGCTACGTGCTTTTACTTAGACCTGTTGTACTTAGCGATATTGTTGAAGTCCCTTCCATCCTTTTGGTATAATTACATATTTGAAATTTTACTTTGAGCACATTTTGTTGTATTAATACCCTAAACATCTGAAAGTACTTACTGTTTTGAATTTAAAATATTGCATAGACTTTAGCTCAGGCCCCGGTATCAGGCTTAGCCTTACTTCCTGCCTGTACAGCTTTGTAGCTTTAGACAAATCGCTTCTTTTCTATAAGCTTCAGTTCTCTCATCTCTAAAATGTGGATGGCGACCACCCACCCCATAGGGTGGCTGTACTGATTACATGTGATACAGCGCGTGGAAATTGCTTACTATAGTCCAAAAAGCACTTAATAAGTAGTAGTGCTGGTGATTGTATTTTTTGAACTCTGACATTAACAAGTAAATTCCTTTCACCAAAATCTTTAATTATAGATTTTGATTATTTTCTGGATGTAAGCACTTAATAAGTAGTAGTGCTGATGATAGTGTTTTTTGTTTTATTTTGAAGATTTTATTTATTTCAGAGAGAAGGAAGAGAAACATCGGTTGCCTCTTGCACACCCCCTCCTGGGGACCTGGCCCACAACCCAAGTATGTGCCCGGGCTGAGAATCGAACCGGTGACCATTCCACTCAATCCACTGAGCCACTCCAGCCAGGGCTGCTAGTATTTTGTGAACTCTGACATTAACAAGTAAATTCCTTGCACCCAAATCTTCAGATTTTGATCATTTTCTGGATGTATCGTCTTCTAACATTTTCTGTTGGCATGTAACATTTTCTCTTGACTTTTAGGGGACTTTGCCTAGGATTTATACGTATATGCCTGGTGGAATTCTGAGATTGTGTTGATTCAGCAGCAGTAGCGGTAGTAAATGTATCGATCGGATGCCAGCGCCGTGAGGACCCGGCCGACCACCCGCCCACCCAGGCCCTCCCCTTCCCCTTGGTCTCCTGCCGTCTCTATGAAACTGAACGCAGACGGACGAGCAGAAGGGACCCTAAGACTCATGCTCCTTCCTAAGCTTTCTCCAGTCCGCCGTCCTTTCTTTCCGTCTCGTCTTCTGTCTTCATCTCCCTCCTGTTCTTCTTCTCTTCCCAATAGAAACATGAAACGTTCTTTAAAGTTTGAAAACTGTGGAACTCTTTGTAAATGTATTTGTACATGTCATGTTATGTGCGTTTAGATTATGTCCTCAAAATAAGCAACGACTGTGTCCTTTTTGGTTTAAATTGTATTTGGAATCAGTGTTATATGCATAAAAATTATGCATATGTTGGTGGCCTTTTTTCCTATATGATGGTAGGTACCTTCCTTCATGAGTTATTTTTAAAGCAAACAGCAAAAAACACTTTCACCACATTTCCTCCGTTCTTTTTCGGATAGTGGTCCCGTTGATAATTGTGCGCTCATCCCCGTCCCAGGCGTGCGGTCGTTCACTGTAATCCTGCCTTGTCCACACACAGAATCGTTTGGCCATTTTTCTATTGTGTTTTTTTTTTCTTTTTTTTAAAGATTTTATCTATTTATCTTTAGAGGGGAAGGGGGAAGGAAAGAGGGAGAGAAACATCAATGTGTGGTTGCCTCCTGTGCCTCCCCTGCCGGGAACTGGCCTGCAACCCAGGCATGTGCCCTGACTGGGAATGGAACCGCGATCCTTTGGTTCCCAGGCCTGCGCTCAATCCACTGAGCTACGCCAGCCAGGGCAATTTGGTACTTTTAAATTATTTTCCTCTATTAATATCAGTGATAATTCTTTAGTTCATTATTCTCAAATGGCAATAGAAATTGTTAAAAGGCAAGTTAGTGTCCTAGCTATCAGCCATTTTAAATATGCGTATTTGCATTTTGGTGTGGGAATCACGATTCGGGTTGAGGACGGTTTGGACGTGTGCTCTGTGGAAGGAGCCCGCTGGGTGGCCGATGTCCCTGCTCCACCGCCGCCTCGTCCTGCGAGGGCTTAGTTTCCGTGATTTAAGCAGCACTTTTTTTTCTTTTTTTACTCGTGGTCTTAAATTTCTTAATGAACTTATTGCCTTTTTGTAATTGATTGCTATTTTTCTCTTTCTTTTTTAAAATTTATTTTATTTCTTTTCAGAGAGAGGGGAAGAAGAGAGTAGAGAAACACTGACTTGTGAGGGAAATATCAGATGGTTGCCTCTCCTGCCCAGGCACGTGCCCTGACTGGGAATCGAACTGGAGACCTTTCAGTTCGCAGGCCTGCGTTCAACCCACTGAGCCACAGCAGCCAGGGCCGTAATTGATTGCTATTTCACCATTAACTAAAAGTCCTTCAAAATTCTTAACTACAGAGTTTTGCCAGCGAAACCAGGTTATTTAAGTGGCTTACCCTCCCCACCCCACAAGTGGGTATTTTCATTTTTTTCAGG